AAGAATGACGTTCCTTTACTCGATTGATTATTCGGCGGATTCGAAAAGAGTGGCGCCTTCATCGAAGAAGAAGAAAATTTATTTGTTGAAGTGTTCAGATGACACTTGAACAAAGATAGCTTGATCGTGTCTTGTCCAAGCTGGGTATTCAAAACCCCCATGCTCCAGCTTGAGGGGGGTGTTGGTGTGAGAAATTAGAAGAAGAAAATGGAATTCCAAAGGGATTTTGTTTAGTATCTTCCCTAGTTTGCTTAATTCTTGTTTCAGTAAGAATATAAATTTCCTTGTTTGCTTTACCCTCTTCCTATATAAAGAGAGTTAGATCTTTGGATTAAAAACCAACCGAATATATAGAATATTTTCTCGCTCATTATTTTCTACAACACCCTGTCCCCGAGGGCCCCTCAGCACCGGCCGGACAATTAGCTAAGAGCAGATAAATTGAGCAATAATCTGAGTTAGTAAGCGTAAGGGTGAGGTTCTGTGCCTGGTACTTGTCGAAGCCCATGCTTTACATGGTTGCCTCTCATCGCAATCACCACCCTTTAAACTCGAGATCTCTCTCTTGTATTGCCCTAATGCCCATCGTTGAGCTACGCCTCACCAGCAATAATTTTGAGAGATTGGGAGTAAAGTGATTTGATAATCACCCATTTTCACCTCAAACTTCCTATATACATATACCCATTTTCACCTCAATCTCTTTTATGCATCCCTGGACATGACATTACATAGTATTGAATGTTTATAATGGAGAACTCCCTAAATAGAAGTAAAAATTATGAAAATTTTAAAATAGGAGTCATAAGACTTTTAAAATTAAAATAAGATTTCACACTGTCATTATTTCACTACAACACTCACTACTTTAGTCACATTGTAACTGCCACACCTTCACCACCACATAGACATCCGTCGTCGCCAGCCACAAGAGTACCACTGCAGATCATAGATGAATGATTAGTCATACTGACATATTACACCGTTATCACTTTTCTATCATACTACCAATGCATTCTCATATACCGCACTACCGTTGTACTTCTATATTAGTCTTAAAATGCATAATACTCTTATTTTGGTATTTTTCTAATTTTTTACTCATATCTTGGGATATTTCTTTGTTTATAAATGTGTATAAATGTGAGGTTAAAAGTAAGATGTTCGTAGCATAATTTTTTAATAGAGTTTATTGCACCATGACCCCTTGTGGATTGGTAAATGTGCATCGTTACCCCCTATGGTTTCAAAACTTACGTCGTTGCTCCTCATGGTTCTAATATTGCTACGCCAATGCCCCTCTATACTAAAATGTCCTTCAAATATTATGTGAATATCTCCGATGTCCCTATGATTTTGGAAATTGGAACAAATACCCCCCACCCCCTTTTCTTTATTTTTTCCTTTTTTCTACTATATTTTTTCATAAATATTTTTTAATTTCTTTTTTAAAATTATTTTTTATACTATCACCATCCTTGAGTATTTGTTCAGTTCTGACTTTTGTCAGTCAACGGTTATCAATCTCTGACCCATAACTAAATAAAACATATATAGTATATTATTTAGATAAAATAATGTTTTTAAAATATTTTATATAATAAATCTAACAAAACTATTTGTGTAGCAATATATAATATCATTTTTATTTAACTTTTACCGAAAACAAGTTAAAAGTAGACAAATACTCAGGGACGGAGGGAGTAATATTTTAATCATCATTTTTTTGTATTTTCAATAAAAACTAATTTAATACTAAGAATTGATGTACACTTCATTTGTCTCAAATTAAACATTTCATTTTTTGGTTTATTTTCATGATACGAAAATCAATGAAATATTCTCTTTTTTTTACTAAAGCTCATTTCTCATTTTATGTTCATTAATTTTATACCATTTCATTTATTTCAATCAAAATTAAAATAAAAAAATAAAAAATAGAAAAGAAAAAGAAAAGGAAGTATATGTTAAAAAGATGTTCTTAGTATTTTTTTGTCCCAGCATATTCAAAAAAATAAAAACTTTTCTAGAGAAAAAAAAATTGAAAAATGAAGTGTATGTTAAATTTTTTATTTCTTTTTTTATTTCAAACACAAACTTTTATTTTTTAGTTTTTAAAACTTTTTTAAAATATAGGTTTGAAAAAACAAATTTTCATTATTTCATGCACAAACATTTTTCTTCTTTTTATGAAAAAAAGGAGAGGGGGTGTTGGCGCTTATTTCAAAAACCACATAGAGCAGCGGAGTTATTTAACTAATATTTCATGGATATTTTTGTTTAGAGGAGCATTGACATAACAATGTCAAAACCATGAGGGCCAATGGTGTAAGTTTTGAAACCATTGGAGGTAGCGGTGCACATTTACCAAACCACAACGGTGTTGGTGTAATAAAATATTCTTCAAATTGGAACAAATACCCCCCCAACATAAGTTAACTCAAAACGAGTGACAGATAAATAAACTAACCCGCCAACCAAAGTTCGAGTTCATATCGAGTCTTCGAGATAATACCGAGTTCATATTTTCTCTGACACATGAATATACGAGATGAACTATGGGCGATCTTAATGCCTAAATAATATTTTAAAACGCCAAGATCTTTTACTTGAAAACACTCTAACAAATAACCCTTAAATTTGACAATTAGCTCTAAGCAATTCCTCGCAATAATCAAATCATCCACAAACAAATACATGGATCACCCACCCTGCTTGGTGAAGGGAAAAGAGTGAGTAATGAGAGATGGACTGAACAAAACCATACCTCTTCAGTGCAGCGGATAACGTAGCGAACCAACACCGGGGTGCTTGTTTCAGACCATACAAAGACTTGTGTAATTTGCAAACTTTTCCAGGCGTAACGAAGAAAAACCTAGTTGAAGGCGCATGTAGAAATTGTCATCAAGGTCACCATGTAATAAAGCATTGTGAATATCCATCTTATGTAATTCCGAAGAAAGAGCAACAACAACAGCTAATTATAACACCCCAAAACCTGGCCTATCAGAATTAATTAATTAATAATAGTTAATTAATTACTAAGACGGACTCAGTGGAAATTATGAAATACTTTTCTTTTGACAATAAGGTTTATACCGTTGTGTAGAATTCGACGGAACGAATCCAACGGTGCAATCGGATTTGGATTTTGAGCCCGTGGGCCCGGAAAGTGGGTTTTGGGCCAGGTACGTTAAGTTATACGAAGCCCAAAATCCCAAAAGTATAAATAATACCCTACACGCCCAAACCCTTGCGACGCCACCCATATTACGTAACATGCTCCCTCGTTTCTCTTCGACCGGATACATAGCAGAAGAACGAAACAGAAGCAGGAGAAAGAGGAAGAAGAAAAAGAAAGAGAAGAAAAAAAGGAAGGGGAAAAAGAGGAAGTTCACGCCGCTCACGAGAACCGTTGGTAACATCCTATAGCTTTCTAATTGATGAATTCGAGGTGAGTGTGTGGACATCTAACATATGGTTATAGTCATACGTTTGAATCTTACGTTCGTAAAATCGTTACGGTTGATCTATTTAGACCTTACGTGGAATATGACTTGTTTATGTTGTTTACGGTTGAGAAGCATGATTTAGCTTAGAATTGTTTAAGAGCATATTAGATAATGTTTGAGATGTTGTTTAATTTGGCACGGTACCTGGCTACCACCACCCACCACGTTTTTCCCTCGTTGTGGCGGGACCTGTCACTAAACGGTACCTAGGTACCGGGCGGATGATAGGCCCTACCGCCGGGTCGGTAGAGGCTACCGTGACAGGCCTACCGGGTAAGAGTCACAACACACACGGTCGGTACCCACGTTAAGTGGGACGATACCCTGGTACCGTGGAGCTGGTAACCCTTATCGTTAAGGGTACCGTGAGGTATCTGAATCGATCTGAATTCTGTGTTTGTAAACATGGGTGCCAATACCTAGTGTTAGGCCGCTGTTTGACTACATTGATTGTGATGGTTGATTCTTATTTCTTAAATGAACGTTATAACATGAATTGTTAATGAATAAAGGATGAATCACCTAGAATAAAATCTAGGGACTGCCCTAAATGGATTAGTGTTAAGGTATGTTATAAGTTAGTAAGTTAGAGTCATGTGGTACCTGCTGAGTCCAATGGTTATCCGGGTAAACACGTGTACATGGGGATCTAAGAACTGTCGTTCCAAAGGGGATAGAGATCTCACCCGCCCAACGAGGAACTCTTGAGTTGGTTTGAGCTTGATCTTCAGTCAAAGGGGAAGGTCATGACTCCCATAGGCCAGTCGAATTCAGTTAAGCTTTAACCTAGCATCGGTTAAGAGCCATGTACAAAAAAGGAAAGCAAGATAAACTAAAAAGGAAAGAACCTGAGGTTATATCATTGTTATTTGTATCTCATGAATATCGTACGGTGATATGGGCCAGTGGGATCATCTATTGGTATGGCGGTATGTTAGATATTTTTCACTTAGATTCAATGTTGAGCATGCGGTGTTTGTTTCTTTGATACGCGTAGGTAATCCAGGAAATGAGGAACTTGGAGCCAATCCTAGAGGGCGATGAGGATGATGAGATGTGCGTGGCAGTATTCGATGATTTTGAATTATTACTTATTATTTAAATTAACTTATTACTATTTTGGGCATGATTCCCAAGTTGTGCTTTAAATTATGAATTAAGCTTCCGTGATTATTTTGAATATTACTCCGATGATTGTTAAACTATGTTTTGAAATGATTATTTGAATTGTTTTGAAAAGTTAAGTTGTGTTAGGATACCAATTTAGTAGCAACCTGGTTCGCTAATCCGAGTATCCAAGTTATGCGGGTTTGGGTGTTACATTTTGGTATCGGAGAATATGGCTGGTTTTTATTCGGATCATAAACAGATAGTTTTCAAAAGCAGCACCACATCTCTTGCGACTCATCAGCCCCAGGAAGGTAATAATTTTATGACTTTGATTGTTATGTGCTAATGACTGATTATGATTTTATGTGTGTAATTTAGAATGAGTGATGCATCTATGCATGCCCACGACAACACTCAACAATTGGGCGGTGAGCATGCCGACGTTGAAACGGAAGCGTCTAGCTTCATGCCTCAGCAGAACGCTGGGCAGCCCAACGTACCGCTGAACACTGGGAACAACCAGAACTTCGGGAACCAGCCTGAGGCTGCCATGCCTGCTTTCATGGCTCAATTCCTGCAACAGATGGCAAACGCGCCAATGTTCTAACCGCCTCCGCCGCCGCAGCAACAGATCACCTTCAAGACTTTGAAGGATAACGGAGCTGAAGAGTTCCTTGGGGATCGAGTGGTTGAACCCCAGGTAGCACTCGACTGGATCGATCAGGTTGCGAGAGTGCTGAATGATCTGAATGTGCCAATTGGTGATCACCCGAAGCTAGAATCTCAACTGCTCCGTAAAGGAACATACAAATGGTGGAAGCGCACCGACAACAAGCCACAGACGCCAAAGTCATGGACGTGGGCCTATTTTGACTAGGATTTCAAAAATAAATATATTCCAGCCCATTTCCAGGAGGAGAAGGGGACGAAGTTTATGGAGCTTCAAAAAGGGAACATGACCATTTTCGAACTACGACAGAAGTTTGAACGCTTGGCTCAGTTTGCACCCATGTTGGTATCCACGTCGGCTGACCAAATTGAAGAGTTCAGGAAGGGATCGTGTCCTAACATGCGACCTTACGTGTCAATAATGACTACCACTAACTTCTCCGAGGCGTATGAATTGACGGCGAAGACAGAGAAGGACGTGGATGACCTGAAGGCAAGCCTGAGTGCTGGAGAGGCAGACCCTAGTCATTGAGTGGTGACTAGTGTGACACCGAGCAGCAAGAGGTCCTTTGGGGGTACTAAGGGTACCCGAAACTTCAAGAAGACCAAGTTCGCACTAGCTCGGTCGTATTTAGCCAGTAATCGCGGCAAGCCCTTCAGGCACCCCGTATGCAACCTGTGTGGAAGGAATCACCCAGGCGACTGCTGGTTCACACAGGGCCTATGTTTGGGATGCGGGAAGGAGGGACACTTTCGTAAGGACTGTCCTACTAATCTAGGACGTGACTTCCCCATCGTGGAGGTTCAGACACAGATGGCTAGGCAGAGGCCAACGTAGAGTCAGAGATCTATTGCGGGCTCGAACACGCCAGGAGGATAGAACCAGAATCGTCAGCACGGACGTACTCCCGCATGCACCTACACCATGCAAGGGCATACTGAATTGAATCGCAATGTCATCTTGTGTATGTTTTCATTATTCAATACTCCTATACTTGCAGTAATTGATCCAGGATCTACATTATCTTACATTTGTGTTCCTATGCCCGAGAAATCAAACATCGAGAGAGGAGATCTAGAATATCTTATGGTAGTATCTAATCCGTTATGGACTTCATCACCTATACCATAACTGCCCGTTGATGGCCCAAGGACACTGACTGTCCGCGAGTCTAATCGAGTTACCATACAAGGAATTTGACATCATCCTTAGTATGGATTTTCTGACTGAGCGCCAAGCAATAATTAATTGTGGGTTGCGCACCATACGACTAAACACCGATGATGGTGACATTGTAGAAGTCAAGGGGGAGCTGTTCCCTAAGTCTCTGGAATTTATGTCTTATATGCAAGCAAAGCGGCTCATCTGGAAAAAAAGTGCAAAGCACTCCTGTGTCATGTTTGCGATACCAGAAGGGAAACCTCCGTGCAGAAAGATATTCTTATAGTGTGTGATTTCCCCAATGTGTTTCCCAACGATCTCCTTGGCTTGCCATAGCCAAGGGAAGTGGAATTCTCAATTTATTTGGTTCCAGGAATGGAGTCAATTTCTGCGACACCATACCGCATGGCACCTGCGGAGATGAAGGAGCTGAAGGCTCAACTGCAAGAATTATTGGATAAGGGATTCATCAGGCCGAGTTTGTCCCCGTGGGAGCGCCACTCCTCTTCGTCAAGAAGAAGGATGGATCCATGAGACTGTGCATTGACTACATGCAGTTGAATAAAGCCACCGTTAAGAACCGTAGACCCGCTGCAAAGAATTGACGACTTGTTTGATCAGATTAGAGGAGAAACAGTGTTCTCAAAGATAGACCTTTAATCAGGTTACCATCAGATCCCAATGAAGAAAGAGGACATACCGAGGACAGCTTTCCGAACATGTTATGGGCATAATGAATTCACAATGATACCGTTTGGGCTGACGAATACCCTGGAGATTTTCATGGACTTGATGAAGAGTGTCATCCGTCCCTACCTAGATCAGTTTGTGGTGGTGTTCATTGACGACATTCTGGTGTACTCCAGGAAACCATAGGAACATGCGAGACACTTGCAGACTATACTTGGTGTGCTAAAAGAGCACAAACTCTACGCCAAACTGTCAAAGTGTGAATTTTGGCTCGAAGAAGTCACATTTCTAGGGAACTTGATTTCCAACGAGGGCATCAAGGTGGACACTAGTAAGATATCAACTATAATGGTGTGGAAGACTCTGAGGAATGCACAGGAGGTGAGGAGCTTCCTTGGCATAGCTGGTTACCACCGCCGCTTTGTGGAGAACTTCTCATCCATTGCATCGCCATTGAACAAGCTACTAAATAAAGACATGAAATTTGTATGGACTGACGCATGTCACCATAGCTTCGAGAAACTCACTGGTGCTAGTACAGACAGTGCCTGGAAAGGACTACACAGTTTTCAGTGATGCATCTCACAGCGGATTTAGCTGTGTGCTTATGCAGGAGGGTAAGGTAGTGGCCTATGCCTCCCGGCAGTTGAAACCTCACGAGGCTAACTACCCTACGCACGACCTAGAATTAGCAGCGGTGGTATTTGCGTTGAAGATTTGGTGGCACTACTTGTTTGGTGAGACTACCTATATCCACATCAATCCCAAGAGTTTGAAATATTTGCTAACTCAGAAGGAGCTGAATTTGAGACAACGAAGGTGGCTAGAGTTGATCGAGGACTACAATTGCTATATTAACTATCACCCAGGCAAGGACAATGTTTTGGCTGATGCCTTGAGTCGAAAGACTATGGCTGAGTTACGACTTCAACAGACGCTTGACAAAAAGATCCGTACGGCTCAGGCTACGCACGACTTCGGTTTGAAGACTTGCGAGTTTGTCTCAAAGGGGGAGAGACGAGACTTCACTATTGATTGCAATGGAGTTCTGTTCTATCGAGACCGCCTGGTGGTACCTGACAGTGAAGTGAGAGAACGATTGCTACAAGAAGCTCATGGAACTGTGTACACCATGCATCCCGGTAGCAATAAGATGTATCAAGATCTCAAGAAGATTTACCATTGGCCAACAATGAAACGCGAAATTGCTCAATTTACGTCTAGATGCTTGACTTGTAAGCAAGTCAAGGCGGAGCATCAAGTACCGAGTGGGTTGCTACATCCACCAATTATCCCTGAGTGGAAATGGGAGATGATCACAATGGACTTTGTGATAGGCCTACCCCTATCGGAAAAAAGAATGATGTAGTGTGGGTCATTATGGACCGATTGACTAAATCAGCTCACTTCCTTCTTATCCGACGAGACTTTTCCTCGCAGAAGTTTGTTGAACTCTACATTCGAGAGATTGTAAGACTACATGGAGTACCTGTGTCTATCATCTCAAATCGCGACCCGCAATTCACATCTCAGTTCTAGAAGAGTCTTCAAAAGGCTCTTGGAACAAAGCTCAATTTCAGTACAACGTTTCACCCTCAGACAGATGGTCTGTTTGAGAGAACAATTCAGATTCTGGAGGACATAATGAGAGCTTGCGTCATTGATTTTAGTGATGGTTGAAAACGATACCTTCCATTGATGGATTTTGCTTACATCAACAGCTACCATGCTAATATTCAGATGGCACCGTACAAGGTATTGTACGGTAGACATTGTAGAACCCTGGTCTACTAGATCGAGTTGAGCGAGCCTAAGCTTGAAGGACTCGACCTAGTTCGTGAGGCAGAGGAGAAGGTTCGGTTGATACGTGATAGATTACAAGTTGCTTCAGATCGTTAAAAGTCCTACGCTGACCTCAAGCGTAGAGAAATTGAGTATAATGTTGATGATTGGGTATTTCTCAAAGTTTCCACATGGAGGAAGGTTTTAAGGTTTGGCAAGAAAGGAAAGCTAAGTCCTAGGGTCATTGGACCGTACAGGGTCATTGAACGAGTAGGACCCACATGGAGGAAGGTTTTAAGGTTTGGCAAGAAAGGAAAGCTAAGTCCTAGGGTCATTGGACCGTACAAGGTCATTGAACGAGTAGGACCAGTGGCTTATCGATTGGAGTTACTTACCTCAGGAACCACAGAAGATACACGATGTATTAATATTCCATGTGTCTATGATAAGAAGATATCGATCGGACCCGTCGCATGTACTACCCGAGGGAGCAATCACCCTCGACGAGAGTCTTACTTATGAAGAAGAACCCGTAAAAATCCTAGCGCGTGTAGTAATGAAACTGAGTCGATCACACAAAGATATTGTGTAAAAATAAACCAACGAAATATTAATAGAAAAACTTTGGTGTATATTTCATTAGGGCTGTAAATGGATAACCGAAAATTTGATTACCGTCTGCATCCGTATCCTTTTATACGGAAAATATCCACTTCTGTTAAAAGCGATTATTATCTGTATCCGATTAGTAAACGGATACGGATTTTGTAATCATACATCTGATCCGTTTATAATCTGCTTCGCATAACATCCGTTTAAGTAACCGTTTATCTATATATCTGCTCCGTTTTATAAAAAAATTTCTAATTTTTCATTATTATATTTTGTTTTTCTATTGACATCTCATAGTATAAGACATTTTGATATGCCAACGATATGTGTAGATACATAAAAATATGTGCAGACACATAAAAATTTGTGTGTATGTGTATTGTGTATATCTTTTTACCATACGTAGTTGTCGTAGAATATTATAAATTATAAAAAAATTACTCCGTAACAAATTACAATTGAATGAATAATATTTAGACTTTAATTTAATTGGAAATTAAAGTATTTTTCAATTTAACTTCAAAAATTGGAATCGGATACGGATATATCCGATATCCGACCGATATCCGACGGATGCGGATACGATTTTGATTTTTAGTATCCGTCAAGATTCGTATCCGAATTCGATATCTGATAAAAATAAATAGATACTAATCTAGTAGTGGCACATCTGATCCGATTAATATCCATTTATACCCCTATATTTGATTATACTAGTATTTTAACTCGTGCCATGCACGGGATGGTACAAAATTGTTTGTGATTCTACAATATGGAATATTAAAAT